TTGTCATACCACATAAATGAAAAATAAACATATAAAACTGTCCCTGTACTTAATTAGTTAAGAAATATGCCATCAAGGCATATGGGGAAGTGGAGGTATAGCTCCACCTTTCTTGACCTATGCACTAGATGGAGATGAGTGGCCAGTTTCACGCTCCTGTCGCTTTACCTCCGTGGAAAGAACCTTGGGTACGCACCTGATAGGAGCCTGGGTGGGCCCCAGAGCCGATCTGGACGCTGCGATGTATAGGAAAACCCGTTGTCTTACCGGAAATCGATTCCCAGACAACCAGCCCATTTCATAATCATAACGGTTTGGCAAAGCTAGCACGAATCAATTTGAGAAAAGAATCTAAGATGTCTTCTCTTTTCTTTCATTATTTTCCCCCTTTTCGTATATCTTTTATCCTCTTCATCCTATTCTTCACACTCACCTTCATTTCTTTTAAGTGTTCTGATTCACACAACTGCATATATCCAGGATCACAAACGGATGCATACCCTATCCACTCAGAACCGCGCCTCGTTCCATGTCTCCGGTTTCGTCATTTGCTGAAAGCGAGTCTTGCCCCAATGAGCCACATTCCGCAATTGCGTCCCTCGACAGCGTTTCCGGTGGCGTTTGCAGTCCGAAGACATGAATCATGGCGAGACGTGACGTCATCTGCTCGGAGTGCAAACGTCACTAGTATCATGGCTGCATACTGCAGTCTCTCTCGTGGACTGGCAAATGCTTTTTATGGTTATAATGTGCACCTACTAATACCGAGTCACAACTTGTGTTATACAGAGCGAGCCAAAAGTCACTGTGCACCTAGGCTACAAACCATAAAACCGCTTAATTCTTAGTATTACGACAAAAGTCCTGCGTGACTTTTGACACCTACAGTGACCAACCGTAATTTCCTGAAGCAATGTAATTCAGTTGCGCAGGATTTGAGGTTCTCACACTGGTGGTTATCAAGAGACATAATGGGATATAATGCGGCGTAGTCCTTTGAAAGAAAACCGACGTTTCGGAGGAACATGTCGTTTCCATCTGAAGCGTAGAAGAATAAGCCAAACAAAAAAGAACATCGTGAAAGGGAGCAAAAACTACCTGCTGTAACTCTGGTTTCTTGCTTGGTTTAATAGTCATTAAAAGTTGATACTTATTTACAATACGTAATTTAAAACCGCTTAATATGTCATACCTACGTTCGTATATCTTGCATTAAAAAAGAGTACAAAAACAGACTCCATGGCCTATAGACCGCAAGCGAACTATACCGACCGGGCGACTGCCGCTTGTCTTCGAAGTTAGTGTCAAATTTTGCGGATAGAGAGTGTCACGTGGTCAGCGCAACGGATCCCCAACTTCGTTAATCTCGGTTTTCTAGACCGGAGCCGCTATTTCCTTGAAAGGTCTCCTCTATTATCCTCACGGGGCTGAGTGGACCTCATTCCAGACCCACTACTTTTCAGAAGATCTGGAAGCGCCGGGAATCGAACACTGGACCTCTGGATCTGTAGCCAGCAACTCTGACCACTAGACCACAGAGGCTGTCTATAAAAAGAGTGCGGTACAGGAATTTGTTAGTTATTTTTTAAAGAGTCGTACTCGACTTAGACAAAATTTAGTTTATTCCGTACACGCCATTAAAGATCTGAAAATCTTGGATGTGTGAAGCAAGTGCCGCAGTCCTCACTTTTCTCGATTTTCGATTTACAGCATTGGGTGATAAATTCTTCCGATAAATTAACTTGAATGCATGCAACCGAAAAAGTTCCCCAGAAATACCCTGGTTTTCACTCAGTACTCCTCGTATTTGTGGACCAAACACAAAGAGCTGACGCCAAAGTTATGAATATAAGATCACGTGACTGAAGTATATTCATCTGTACCAGTATGACTATAGGTGGGGCTCGGGTTGGTAAGCGGATTTAGCCCACACTTATACACACAACTCGTAATAAGAGCAACTATAGCGCTATTGCTAATTCACACACTCTATACTTCACTACAGCACGCACTAATTCTTTTCAGTCTGCTGTATCTTTACAGGTTGCCGCCTGGTAACGGCTGCCAACGCCATAGCTTCCTCAGTTTCCGTGTTCGCAACCTTACTGATCGGCGACTGTTTCACAATTAGTTAAACCATAGATTTGTCCTGCTTATAACACCTTGGGACGGATCGTATAGAAAACACCTCTCCGAACAGTTCTTGTTGCGTCACGTAGCTGTCGAACAGATCGCTCAGAGAAAACCGCTCCCCACTTACACCAGTGGTGTGTATTACGACTCTGTTTCGGCCATTACCTAGCAATGGCCGTTGTTTACAGAGTAATTTCTTAGTAACAGGTCTACATATTCAAATCCGTCTGTAGGTTAATGTGGAACAGTTCGTTACATCTTCTATAATTTGCCAATGCTTCTAATGCACCTTACACCAGTTTCGCTTTATGAATACTGCACATTTGATCTTAGATCTGAAAGCATGAATTCACGAAAAGTCAGTCTTCGTTCTACTTCTCTTCTTCCGCGAGCCTTTAAGGAGCATATTTTACGACGAATTTTGTTGAACCATTGAATCAAATTGACTTGCTTCCACACAGAAACACTATTGATCAATGATCAAAAACACACGCAGAAAGGAGCCTTAACGGTTCATTAAGACCTTACGTCCACTTTGAAGAACAATTTCCAACAGTGGTCCCCCGTAAGACGACAATGTTTAGATTTTGGTATTTTGGGTCATGATACCGTGTAGTCTGGCAGGTTTCTTTATCAGCGATTCGAAGGAATCTTTGTTTCCATCTACATTCCTAAAAGTAAAGTTGCCCTGTGCTTAACTAATTAAGCACTAAGCCATGAAGGCGTATGGGGAAGTGGATGTATAGTCCCACGTATTCTTGACCTTGGCAGTATTTAGAGTGGTCAGCTTCACGTCCCGGCAGCTTCATACCCGGGGAAAGAGTCCCCGGTATCCATTAGGCCCCAGAGTGGGTCTGGACGACGTGGAGATGAGAAAATTCTTGACCCTACCGGGACTCGAAATCTGACCCCCGTCCAGCCACTAGCCAGTCGCCATACCGACTATACTAGCCCATTCATCTGCACTTCCACCCCTTCTTTATTAGCAACCATCTTTTTGTATGCATTATAAAATAATTATCTGTATAGTTTACGCCGCGTTCAAAACGAAAAGTTAGAACAAATTAGCGATTAGCCTTGCCATGTCTGTACCTCTGTACGTCTGTCCGCGTGGGTGCCTAACAGCTTGAGAATTGTCACACATTTTACACAGGTGCTTAAGGATTTTACAAAAATCTGTTCACACATTCCAATTCTGGTTATAACACGATAAAATAACAGACAATTTACACCGAGATCTAGGCGCATGCCTGCGAGCATTTCTGGCATAAATGTTTAAGCTACAATTTTAAATACCAATTAAGCAGAAATTTTACGTCCTTTAATTCTTAAGCTTTTCGAGATATTTAAGGAAAAGTGGGAGAATGCATTAAAATTCCTATCCGTAGGGCCACATTTCCTAGCTTTTCGAGATAATTAAGGAAAAGTGAGCGAATGCATTAAAATGGCCACATTTCCTAGCTTTTCGAGATAATTAAGGAAAAGTGAGCGAATGTATCAAAATCGCTATCCATATGGCCACATTTCCTAGTTTTTCGAGATAATTAAGGAAAAGTGAGCGAATGCATTAAAATTGCTATCCATATGGCCACATTTCCTAGCTTTTCGAGATAATTAAGGAA